GAGCAGACCTGAATAGAATTAGGTGGACCCCAGACCTCAGATGCACCAAGACATGCCAGTGTTTGATGGGTGGGGAGACGGGAGCCTGCCCGAAGAAAGGGTTCTCCAAGGCTATGACTCAGCAGCTTTAAAGTGTTGCTTCCTAACGCCGAGAACCGCACCACATCAACCCCTCAGGGGCGTTGGCTACTGGGGAGGGGGTCAGCCCCCCATCTCTGTCCTTCTGGTGTGGCAGGTCTGACTCTCCTGTCCCGCTGGGTCCAGTCTACAGAAAGGGGAGCAGATCTGACACCTCAGAATATCTGAGCAGAGAGGAGGCTCCTGTACCACCAGAAATGAAGCAATTGACCTTATTACTAACAACTGCTTCATCCTTCTTGCTAACAAAGCACTTTCATATCCATTCACTCATTTCATCACTCTAGGAACCCTCCATGATGCGCCTTTACCACAGAAATGCCAAGAGCTCCGATTTTCTTAATCTGGCCCTGACATTCCCGTCCTCATGACATTAGCATGTGCACAGCAGAGGCTGTGTTTTCAGCTCTTTCATTGAGTTACTATAATGGCAACATTTCTCAAGACCTTACCTAAGGGCTGGCTGCTACAAATACTTAGAGATTTTCTATCACCTTTTGCTTTATCTGTAAAACAAGGCAGATGAGGCCAAACAATGCCCATGATAACCTGGCACAGTGAACAATTAGTCAAGGAAGGAAAACGACGCATTTCACAGCTGTGCCCGCCCACGCGTGTGGGTGTCCATGTAGATGGGAGTGGTGGGTGGCCTGTAGGAAGTGGCGGTGCCTGCTTGAAGCCCAGCCTGTCTGAGAGTGGAGGAGGCGCTGCAGCTGATGTGGGGACAGCAGACAGAATCCAGGACTGTCCCAGGCAAAGCCGGACCCATGGTCAACCTGCCCTAGACCTTAACCTCAGCCCAGCGGTCTCCAGATGAGAAGTTTGACGACCTTTTGCTTTGATGCATCAGACACTTTGGAGATCTTCACACAGGGGCTGAGAGACGCTGTGAGTCCAGGGAAGGTGCTCCCTGGCCCCTCCCCATCCCAGAGTTTTCATCCTAGCCCTGGCCCCTCCATTTGGGACAGTGTGCAGGATTGGCTGTGCCAGCTCTCTTTGGCACACGTTACTGTGCAGGGCTAACTCCCACTTGCTCTTTAGGACTTAACTAGATGACGGAGACATGGCTGAGGCTCCTGCCATGAGTAACAGTCTCTCCTGAGGCTCACTTGGTCACTTGTGCCCTCTCCCACCTCCCTCCATGAGAACACCCCTCACACTGACCACCTTATCACACATGTCACACCAATGGCTCCTTAAAGACAAGGGCCCTGTGGTCACCTTTGATTTCTTATTATCATGCTCAGAGCACCAGCACTTGGTTGACACTTCTGAAGGCCAGCAACATAGTGTTGACCCTCCCGCAAAGCAGGTTTGGACTGAGAGCTTCCGTTTATACTCGGAAATACTCGTGCGTGGACAGCGTAAACTTACTCTGTTGAAGAACACTGTATAGAATCCTAAATGCTCTTTTCTCTTCCTAATGATTTTCATGGTAACATTTTATATTCTGTAGTTTTTTTTTTTTTTTAAAACGTTTTCTTTTAAAGATTTATTTATTTATTTATTCATTTATTTATTTATACAAGCACTGGGTACAGTCAGAAGCGCGGGAGGGTGAGAGAACTCACCAGAGCCAGAGCAGGGAGCAGAGCAGGCAGAAGGACCGAAGTACACTGCTGAGGGGAGCAGCGGGCGGCAGGAGAGGTCTGCGCGCCATGTGGGACCCTCCTCCGGTGGCCGGGGAGCAGCCGGGAATCGAACCGGCGCTGCAGAGGCTGCGGGCAGCCCCGCAACCCAGCGCTCAACCGCTGCATATATTCTGTAGTTTACTTTATAGTAAGAACACAGTATGTGATACACGTAACATACAAAATATGGCTTCCTCAGCTGTTTATGTTTTGGTAAGGCAGCGGGTCCATGCCAGGCTATCAGGAGCTGAGTTTGGGGGTGGGGGTGTCAAAAGTGATACTCTGATTGGAGTTTGCAATGGCAGATACGCAACAAGAACTTCTTAAATTAAGAAAAACAGGAAAAAAGGGGTATTTTTGGTATCTCTCAAGGGGTAACTCAGGACTTGAATTTTTTCTCAATACTTTTTTTTTAAAACAAATGCCAGCGAAGATGCAGCCACAGCAAAGGGAGGTGCTAAGGTGTGGTCAGGAAGGGCTCTGCTGGGAGCTGGAAGGTTCTGGGTCTGGTTTTACTACTCTCACTGCGTGTGGGTGGCCTGGGAGAATGTCTTCACTGCATTGGCTTCACTTTCCTCAATGAAGGGGTGGGGCCACGCCAGTTCCATTGTCAGATCTTACCCCACCTGAAAGTTTGTGTGATTTTAGGTCATAATCCAATAATCACGCAACTTTACAAAAACCTTTTTTTTTCTTTTTACTTTAAGGAAAGCTTTATTACTTGACACATCCCAGGGATGTATTATCAATGGAGAAAGAGCTATATAAAATTTAAAGCCTTTTCAATACGAAGCAACTAAAGAGGATTAAACTATGATACTGTTTGACAAAAGAGAACTCAAACTAATTTTTTTTTTGCATTTAGTTTGCTGTTAATCCTAAAAGAAGCCCACATTTCAAGTTATAAACTTAGCTCATGGTTTTGCAATGTGAAATGTTTTGAGGCAACAGGAGCAGACACACCACAGATAGGCGCTAGCTGGGGTGTAACTGGCTGCATCAACAACATTTGCAAGGTAGTTGGGTGGTTGCCATTTTAAGATAACATTATTTCTTCTTTTTCTCCTCCTCCCCCTTCCACCTCCCCTTCCCCCCTCCCTCTCTACTTCCTCTCTCCCTCCTCCTATTCTTCTCAAATAGTTTAGGGGCACATGTGAAATGCAGTAAGACCACTGGATCAGACTCTCATCCAGTGAACCTCTGTGACAGCCTTTACTGGAAGGAGTGCAATGAATTCTTACAATGACACTTGTTATTACTGCTTAAACTTCTATGTCCCTTCTCTCTCACTAAAATAGAAGTCTCTTAAACTTTCAAGTGGCTGGGCCTCCCTGGTGGCGCAAGGGGTTAAGCACAGCACCATGAAGCAATGCAGCCATTTCCACAGCCACTGCAGCACGAGTTCAATCCCCGGCCGGCCAGGGAGCAACCCACATGGTGCAGCAGACCTCTCCTGTCTCCCCGCTGCTCCCCTCAGCAGTGTATTTCAGTACATCTGCCTGTTCTGCTCCCCACTCTGTCTCTGGTGAATCCCCTCACCCTCCGCAACTCTAGCCTGTACCCCAGCCTTTGTGTGCATAAATAAATAAATCTTTAAAAAAACAACAACAAAAAACTTTCAAGTGGCTAAAAGTTGTAGTGTTTTTAAGTTGGAGTGGTACAGTTTCTCTTTGTTATAATTATTAAAAGACTTTCATGAATGAAAGAAGTTCTCTCTGTGACAAAGTGATAAGGAAATAACAAAAGTCTGCAGCAACATCAGCACTCTGAACACAAATCATTAGATGTGAAATTTACTATGTGGGAGTTGCTAATCTCTCGTTGCCATAATTTTTATAGCACTTGCTCATGCAAAGCAGTCCCTGCAGAATGTGAGACAATCTCCTGGGCGTGAATTGACCATATGCTGAGATTTGTTTAAATGTTTTGACTGTCTTGCAGCCAAGCCATTCCTTAAGCTACCTCAGACCAGATAAGTTTTCCAGTGTTTTGAGGTCACTTAGGAACAATGGTTGAGCACCGACCTGACTGATGACCTGGTGTCATCGACCCTGATCCATTTCCACAGACAGACCTTTCTGATACCTTTGTCAAACATCAAAAGCGTTGTTGTCGGGACCTCAGATATTAAGGGCTCCAGGACATTTCCCAACCTGAAAGAGAATTTTCTGAGAAGTATTGAGTCAGCACCCGGATGGGAAGTCAGACCTGTTTAGACTCATGTGGACTCTCACGCAAAGGAAGGGACTCAGAAAGGGAGGATCCCGTGGACGGGAAAGCCTCAGATGTCAGCTGTGCGCTGATTTACAGTCTCTAGCAGAGACCTAAGCCTTGAGTTGCAACAAAGGTTAATTATATCGTGCAATTAACTACACCCAAAACCACCATAATCTTGCACTCACACAGCCATTTAGACTCTGTGGATCTCAACACATTAAAATGAATGAATGAACAATGCTTTGGTTGAAAGAATGGTAAGACAAAGAATCCCTCAGCTGCTTCCAAGACTGAATTCTATGTGTTTGTGGTCAATTTCCCTCAGCGGAAGCCTCCAAGGTCTTAAACACAGTTTTCCTATGCAAAGGAAACCCAACCTCTAAAGTATGGACTGTTAGGCAAAATTATTTTAATTTCTTTTCCTGGAAGGTAGAACCACTTGTATTTACAAAAGCACAGTTAATACGTTTTTCCATAGTTGTTAGAGGGGCTAGGCCTCCAGTTGTTGAAGCTTTGAGAAGGCTGCAGGGGATTAAGCTTCTTTATTTGGTAGAGAATTAGCTCACGGTATATTCGTGTTGTAGGGGAACTCAGCACTATCAATGTGAAATTGGCTATTGAAGAAACTAAGACTTCTTGTTCTGAATGTTACATATATTCCTTAGTCCTTTTGTGAGGTTATAAAAAGACTTCCCCAGTGTGGGCGCACTGGCCAAAACACCCCCCAGGCTCCCCTCCCTGTGGCCTTGGGCTCTGCACGCCCAGTGCTGGTCTGCTACCCCTGGGGAGGTGATGTTCTCTGGGACCTGGGACCTTTCACCCCACCCTGGAGGAGGGGAAATCAGCGAGTGGGCCTTAAAGAAATGTAAGCTGCCTGCCCCTGACTTCAGGCTCCATAATGAGCACACTGCCCTGGCTGCGCAGGGATGTAAAATAAAGAAGGAAGAGCCAGTGCGATGAGCAATGAAATGAACCAAGGGTCAGAAACACACAGTTCGCTAAGGATGCTACATGGCCAAGTAGACCTGACTTGGGAGATTCCAGGTAGAACCGAGCATAGTCCTGTGTGTGTGGTCCATTTCAAACGTTCTGAACTGCCTGGACCATTAGGACCTTTGCCAAGAGGCTTCTTTGCCACTGACTCTTCAAATTATGTTTACTGAAAGTCCCTTCCTCTCTCTACCGAAGACAAACTCTTCTGTTTCAATAGAATTCCTATTGTGTTGGGAGAATGCAATGGGGAACACCTTAAAGATGCTTTAGGAATGACCCAGGCTTGTCCTCTGTTCCAGGCCACAATGGATGCTCTGCGACTGGCAAATTCGGCTTTTGCAGTTGACCTGTTCAAAAAACTGTGTGAAGAGGAGCCGGCTGGCAACGTCCTCTTCTCTCCAATCTGTCTCTCCACCTCCCTGTCACTTGCTCAAGTGGGAGCCAAGGGTGACACAGCAAATGAAATTGGACAGGTGAGCCCGGGTTCCACTGTGAGTGGGAATAGAACCGTTAGACAGGTAGGCAGTGCCCACGGAGAAACAGATGGGACTCTGGTCGGACTGGCTCAGGACTGAGAGCTGTGCCATTTCCAGAACACTCTTGAAGCATTTTTTAAATGTTAAAGCTCATTTATCTGTCCTGCAATCTGTATTTTGAATAGGTACCATATTGTCCTGAAGAAACTGGGGATCTGCTAAGTGGTAATCACAAGTGGCCACACACACACACACACACACACACACACCCCTACTAATATACACATGCGTGCTGTATGTACGTGTAACTTCATCTTAGTCTGTTCTTCTCAAAAGGGAGCCTCAGGTCCCGGGGTGTATTCTATAACATAAGTAATCACAATTCACATTTATCCCCTAAGAAGTGACCTTCAGTAAGTTGACTACATCTTTCCACCTGTTAGATTGTGAAGAAATCAAGATGGTGTTTATTAAACGCTCCTCTGTAAGTATCTCTACTAGAAAGACTATACCTTTACACTCTCTGCATGCAGTTTATTTACAGCATCATGCTTTATTCTAAGGTGCAGCTTTAAAGGCATTCAGCCATATAATATATCTGTATTGGTTAGATATAATATATTCACACTTAGTTCATGGAAATAACATTTAAAATTATCTACATTGAAGTAACAAGGATACAGATGGATTGTGCTTGCTTATATTTTAAGAATTTCTCTGGGACTTGAGGATCTCATTAGAAAGAAATGGACTAAGATGGTGTTATGTGTGTGTGTATGTGTATATATATGTGTGTGTGTGTTTGTGTGTGTGTATATGTGTTTATATATATATATATGCATATGTATATTCTGAAGCTAGAGAGTCAACTGTAGCCAAAAAGAAATTCTATATATTTAAGAGTTTCTTTTTGACTGTGGTTGACTCTCTAGCTTTGTAAAGTTTTTAGACTTTCAAATGAGATAATTTTCCAGATGATTACATTGTAAGTCCCTTTTTACAACTGGTTAGCAGGTGAATGCCTTTCCATTATTATTCTTATGCTGATCATTATAGATTCAGAGAATCTTTCTCATAGCATTTTAAAAGGGAACATCTTCACATCCATAAATTGCCCGATATATGACCCACGAAATGTTATGTGAGTCAGCACGAACAATTTACACATGAAATAGACTTAGACTTGAAAAGGAAACTTCGCGGTTGTGGGAAGAGTTGCTGTGTTTTCTCCTTTATCTTCCTCTCTCAACTCCCCACTTCATCTCCCATTTTTCATCTCCCAGTAGAGAAGGGACAGAAAAGAACTTTCTGGCCGATTTAAAAGGTCTTCTGAGTGCATGACAATTGGTTCCCTCTGCAGTAGTTACCCGGGTGCTGTAATTTTCTGTCTTGTTACCTGTCATTAGACATGAGAGTTATGCACCCCTTTGGACCAGTCACTTTGACCTTGCAGTGCTTGGGCTGTGACTTATTGGTGCAACTGTCCATTTAGTGATGTGACTCTGGGCAGCACCAGGTTATTATGAGTGAGAAGTGAGGAGAGAATCACCTCATGCTGACATCGTGTTTTGCGGCAGCATGAAGAAAAGTCGATGGTGGGCTATTGGTTGGAACAAAAGAAAAGTTAGGAACAAAAGGATTTAAGTCCTCCAGAAGATAGCCCCTTAGGTGGTGGAGACTGTTGCAAAAGAATAAATATTAATTTGAACCCATATGATATTTTCTGTGTAATATCTGTAATTCTCATGACAACTCTGGAAAGTTGGCATCCTTGGTCCATTTCCGGGGGGAAAACAAGACATGAAGAACAACCAGAATTGTTACATTTCCAGCAGGCCAGCCGAACATTTGTGTAGCTGCCTGATTTAGTGATGCATCTGTTCTATTGGCATTTGCTCAGCTACTAAACAGACCAGTTAGACCCTGTCTATTCTGGAATTAGCTACCTGCCAAATGGTGGACTCTTTCGGTATTTGTCTCTCTCTTCTTGTCTCTAAGTTGGGCAGAAATTCTCATGCAGCTGCGTGCTCTTCCAAGTTTGGAAAATCTTCCAGATGAGCATCTAAATCAGGAGGAGAGTATCTTTGTGGCACTGCTTCTCAACTGGGGGTCCATTTGCCCTCCCTGCTCCCCTAACTTGGGACCTGCGGCAATGACTGGAGACGTTTTTGGTTGTCATGAATAGAGGAAGGAGTGTTACTAGGACCCAGTAGGTCAGGGATGCTGCTATGCATCCTGCTGTAGCCAGGACAGTCCCCAGCCCTCCAGTAAAGAATTACCCAGCCCAACATCAATAGGGCAGAGCTTGAGAAGCTTTGTTGTATGGGAACAATTCATCAGGGAAACACTGGATCCCCTGAAGAGGTTGACTGTTTTTGTGTATTTACCCCAGGGGCAATGCATCATGGGTAACAGATCTTTTCTCTTCACAGGTCTTTCATTTTGAAAATGTCAAAGATGTGCCCTTTGGTTTTCAAACAGTAACATCGGACGTAAACAAACTTAGCTCCTTCTACTCACTGAAGCTAATCAAGCGGCTCTATGTAGACAAATCCTTGAATCCTTCTACAGTAAGTGGTTCACAGCAATTAGCAAGCTTTAGCTCCTTACAAGTGGTGATGTTTTCACCTAGTAAAGCCACAATTTTTTGTCCCAGTGAAATTCACTTTTCATATGCTCATTTGTGAGTTGAGGCTTATTAAAATAAAGCAGTTCTATTTTGAATGCTGAGTAATATTCCATGGTGTATATGGACCACATCTTCTTGATCCAGTCATCTATTTTTGGGCATTTGGGTTGTTTCCAAAGCTTAGCTATTGTAAACAGTGCTGCTATAAACATAGGGGTGCAGGTGCTCTTTGGAGTTGATGTTTCTGTGTCCTTTGGGTAAATACCTAGGAGTGGAATTGCTGGATCATATGATTACTCAGCATTCAAAAAAGATAAACACATGCAATTTGCAGCAACACGGATGGCGCTGGAAGGGATCATGCTCAGCGAAATAAGCCAGAAAGAAAAAGAAAAATACCGGATGGTCTCACTCATAGCAGGAATTTAGAAAACCTAAATAAGGGACCAGGAAAAAGAATAACTATAAGAAAGAAAATATCAAAATTGACAAACAACTATGAACCAGAGACACTCTATGGGGGGTGGGGGGCGGGGAAAGGAGGGCTTGGGGTCAAAATAAGGGGGTTGTAATTGTATGGGGAATATAAAAATAAAATTTAAATAAAAAAACCATTAAATAAAAAAATAAAGCAGTTCTAGTGGAAAAAAGTTCTATTGTTTAGCTCAAAATATAGAGAAACTTGTGGGATTTCCCTTTTCCTCTCAAATTACTCATAAATCCTACCCTTGAAACTTCCTCCCTTGGAGAAATGGAGTATGGGCTTGTAAACTTTGATCCAAGACAGTTCATGATTTAGATCTGTTTCTCCTTAAACAACAGGGCATATGTGGCCTGGGACAACATCTTAATTCTCCACTTTGTTTTTCTGTCTATGCACACAATGTTCTCCTGATGCACAAGAAAAATAATAACTATATGAATTGATGGTTTTCATCAGTCATGAATTGGTTTTGTTCATTTTACTAGCTCGGGTATGTGAGTAACTACACAAGGTAGCTCTGGGTGTTTAATTTAAGCCACTTCTTAAAGGAATCATATAAATAATACATGGCATCCTTAAATTTTACCCTAGCGTATATAATAACATTTTATAAATCATAGTTGAAACACATAGCCAACACCCTAGATTTCCTGAAGTTTCCCTCTCTGTAACATGGAGTTGAACTAATTTGCTTTGATACTCATAATTCTATGCCTTCTTATCTAAAATGTCAACTACAAGTTAAATATTTTGTCAAAGTTTAACTGCTTTTGGCAGCAGGTATTGTTTTTCCTGAGAGTATTTTGGCATTTTTTGATGGCATGGGTGACTAGATATTGTTACAGGATTATTCTTATTGCTTGAAGACACATATGCATAGCTATACCCTCACCTCCAACCCCCCACAATCACTTGGAGTGGCAATTTGTAGAATATTTATTTATTTCAGTGAGGATAAGCCTTCTGCTCATAAAGCTCTCTTTTCAGTATATTTCATCTATTTTAAGATATATATATATTTACATTTTAATGTTTCTGCAATATTATAATTAATGTTTCTGCAATATTATAATTGTTGTGTCCATTTAGTATAGTCTTTTTTTTTCCCACTGAAGCTGCTACTAAAATCATGGATGAATTTAATAATATTGTCTCCAAATGAAATAAATTTAACATAAAAAATTAATAAACTTCTACGTGAGATTTCAGTTTATATAGTGTTACAGATTTTGAAAGTGTATCATGGTAAGAGAGATTGAAAATCCTTTTGGGGAACCTTGTAACAATACAATGGTTTAACTGCAGATTTTAAGTACTTTGTGATTTTATGAACTGGATGTTTTCCAGGAGTTCATCAGCTCTACAAAGAGACCTTATGCAAAAGAGCTGGAAACTGTTCACTTCAAGGATAAACTGGAAGAAACGAAAGGTCAGATTAACAACTCCATCAAGGATCTTACAGATGGCAAGTATTCTTTACCTTTTTTTTTGGTGCTATAAGTTGTTAGGTATACGGACCCTACCTTCTCACAGATCTTTCTGCTAAGCATAAAATTGAACATTTGGAACATTCCTTGGATGCTCTGGTCCATCACCCAAATTCTTGCCCATTGAACCTTTTCAACAACTTGCATTTCTAGCTGATGAAATGCATTTGAAATGGCAGCAGTTCCTGGTGCTTTGGCTTTGGTCCACCTTGCCTTGCTCTCCAAGGAGCTGTCACCTGCCTTGCTGAAGCCCCAGTTGTGTCTCTAACAAAGAGTGACTCTGGGCAAGTCACGAGGTCAGTGTTTCAGTCTGGATATGAAGGAGTTGGATGACTTGATGATCCCTTAGGCCACTTTCAGCTCAACCATCTACTGATTTATTAAGGAACAAAAGGCCAAAGTCTTAAGTAATCAAAAACACATACAGGAAACAAAACAATTTGGCATCGAAACCAAAACGCCCTGTCCCGGTCTGTTCTCAGACAGACCCCGGGTCTCTTCCTTAGCCCCTACGTGGTCTTACTGCTTCCTACCACTTCCGTATCATCTCTCCTTTCCCTGACTTCTCCTTCCATTAGAATCATCTGAGTCCTCCTCACTAGAAAGGAACTGGAGCTAAGCTGTTTTGAAGTACAAATCAGTGTCATTGTCCCTGTTCCCAGCAGTTGCCTTTATATTTATATAGGAAGGCACCAGTTGGGACACAGCATCTCCTTGTGAAGGACAGAGTGGTATGGAAGGAGTTTTTTGGTGCCATTATGGTTGCTGAAGTCCAGGGAGAGATCTGGGCATGATACACATCTGGGGCCAGCGGGATGTACTGCCTGCGAGAAAGGCCAGAGAGCCTTCCTGCTGTTCCACTCAGGAAAGTAGCATCTGTGCTACAACAGTGGAGGGAGGACCTGAAGAATGAAACCTCGAAGTGATTCGAGACCTAGATTCAAATCCAGTCACTGCCACTTATTAACAGATATTCGGACATGGAGCCTCAGTTTACTGAACTGTAAAATGGGGCATGTTAGCTAATTTTTACATGGTTGTTGTTAGGATCAAATTAGATAACATTACTAACAAATTGTATTGCTAGCCAAGATGATATCTAATGCCCAGTGGGTGTGAATGCACACATAGATGTATATGTCCATGTATATTTGTTATTAAAATAAGGTTCTTTGGTTTTACATGATGATGGAACAGCAGGTTAAGCATTACTTAAAAATCATGAGCAAAAAGCAGCTGTTATTTTAATTGCCACATAACAATTCAGCTTTCTGAATTGCTAAATAATTGTATTTTCTCCCAAAAGGTCTGTTGTTTTAAAATTTTTGTAAGTTCAGGGTTCTGGGGTAGTTCAGTGAAAACACCTCTGAATTTGGAGTCAGAAGCTCTAGACTGCAGTTGAAGCGCTGCTCCCCGCTAGCTCCCCAATTTTGTTGTCTTCAAGTTTCTTCAATAACATTATTGTGGGTACAATGTGTCATGCAGGACTGGCAGGGCGAGGGTCATAATTTGCAGGCCCCAGTGCAAAAAATGAAGAGGCAGGACCCTTTTTGAAAAAATTTGTGAAGAACTTTAAGATGGTGTCCACAAAGGGTTAGCTGTGAGAGGCCTTTGTAGGCCGGTGGGGCAGTGGACGCAGCCAGTGGTGGCGAGGTCCTGGCTATCAGGGAGAGTCCTTTGTAAACAACGGCAAGTGCTCGTCAAACGTGAGCACCTCATTTTAAAAATGTGATCACTGTTGCTGTTTGTGCTGTGGGGATTTAGCTCTGTGGCAGTCATGGCCACCACGGAGCCCCTGGTAGTGATGGAGCTGCCCTCGATGCAAACAGCTGCCTGCAACCGTGCATTTTGGGGAGAGGGAAGACAGCATGGGGTGCAGAGCACAGGGTGGTCCTCATGACAAACATGTTCCAGTCGAGTGAACTAGGAAGACACTTGGCCTCTCTGTGCCTCAGTTTCCTCAACTACGAAATAGTCCTAGTATCTTTGCCTTGCAGGACCGCCTTGGAAAGGAAGTAAGATAATGTACAGGAAAATACTGAGTGTAGGGCCAGGGGCAAGCAAGAGTTCATGCATTTTCATTCTGGAGCATGGGCTTGAGTCCTTGCTGCATGTCGTCTTGGGCAAGAGACAGCCCCTAGCGCAGTTCCCCCTCTGGGAAAGGGTGGTGAGCTTGGGACAACTAGCTCACCGCCAGGGCATCCAGAATGGTAGCTTTTCTCCCTCCTCTCTTCTCCCCCTGCAGCTTCCTCCTCGTGTCTTTGGCCAGTCTGGCTGCGCAGGGTGGGGAGGAAGGGTCCTCTGACTGAGATGGTCTGAGCTGCCGGGCCTGCCTCGGTGTGGTTCCAGCAAGTGTTAAATGCCCAGGGAGTGGACATGCATGCGAATGTCAGATGTGGTTTGGAAGAATAATGCTGTGCAATTTGTGGTTTCCTAAAATTGTTTGCAGGCCACTTTGAGAACATTTTAGCTGACAACAGTGTAAACGACCAGACCAAAATCCTTGTGGTTAATGCTGCCTACTTTGTTGGAAAGTGGATGAAGAAATTTCCTGAAGCAGAAACCAAAGAATGCCCTTTCAGAGTCAATAAGGTACGTGGGGTGGCCTGCAGTTGCCAGCTAGAGATCTGAAAAATTACAGCCACAGAAGGGGCCCTGGAACTCACTCCGATGAGGAAAAGGAGGGCCCTGGGGGTTGCTGCCTTTGCTGCCAAAAACCTAATCCAGAGACTCAGACACTGGACGTAAAGCATTAGTTTTAGATGCTGTGTTTTCCACACGGAGGTCCCTGAGTAGGAAACGTGGCTTTTGGACTTTCTTAGTGTGGCCTTTTATTTGGACCTCAATGGAGTGTGACCTTGCATGGCCTCCCCTGTGAGTGGGAGGATGTTGGCCCCAGCGTCCTGACAGCGCCCACACAGCCTTTCTTGCCACAGGGATCCCCTCTGCATTGCTTGGCTGTCTTTGCTCCGCGGCCTGGGGAGGACAGGCAAAGAGGCCCCCACTATGTCTAAGTGAAACCTGAAGTGTGTTCCCAGCCGTGCCGTCATGCCGGGGCCAGCCCAGAACAACAGGGCAATGTCGCTGTGCAGATACGCTGGGCTTTTGGGCTGATCGCATTCAGCCCATGGTTTGTGTTTTTAACATGGAAGGCAGCGTTAGTGGTGCCTTTGGAGGTGTTTGGAAGAACCCACGCTGTTCTTTAGTTCTTATTATGAAATAATGAGGTTTAGGTCCTGTGAGAACCTGGAGTTGCGGACTGAGGGACAGATGCTGACCTCCCAGTGTCTCACCCAACAAGGTCATAAAACACCATTCCACGCTGTGTGGGGAACACCCTGCCTTTGAATGCAGAGGCTCTTCTCCCTTGAATTGCTTTTGTCAGCCCCTGAACTTTTGAGTGTCCTTACTAATTTGTTTCTCAGGTGCTTCTTGAACCAGACTAAATGGGTGAAGCTGTGCTATTAGAAGTTCAGCATAGTGCCTTTCTCCTACGATTGAAAGTCTCCTTCAAAGCCTATTCTGATAGCTGGACAAACTCACACTTTGTGTACATATTTATTACATTTCCCACAATAGTTTTTATTTAGTTCTATTTTCAGGCGATATGTCTCATTTTATGCTAAAGAAAATGCGATAATTGTATCCATCTTCAGTGCTGATAGATGAAATTGATTTTTTTTTGGAGACCAAAACCACCTGCAATTTCAGGAACTGGTGTTAGTCTAATCTCATGGAGGTTTTTAGACAAATCTTTATCTTCTTTCAGAGACATGAATAGAAAATTAGCAGTTAGTTTCAATAGTAGTAGATTTCTCTATTTTAATTTTGTTTCTGGGTATACCTATAGTTGAATTCTTTTTTATCAGCTAATATTTAGTGAGCAATTAATATAGGTTGTGATAGACCAAGATAATAAGACATGGTTTCTGCTTTGTCTAGTTGTGGCGGTGGTAGGGGTGGAAAGACCGTCACACAAATATTTCTAACATTGTGGCAAGTGCCAAAATAGAGGTACTTATAAAAGCAAACTAACTCTGCTACAGAGAGGTGGTGTTGCTGTTTGCTGTTTAAAGATCTCAGATAAAAGGTTTACTGTAGGTTTATCCTTGCAATCTGATGTGAAGTTTGAAATCCCTTCCTCTTCCCAAAAAGAAATTCAGTTAACAGGCAGGTGTTCCATGAAAGTCATCGATCAAGGTAGCAAGAGACACTAAATTACTATCAGTCTTTTACTCCTTAGTATGAATTAATTTTCCTTCAGAAAATCAGTCAGCCTCTGCAGCAGAAACACTTGTTGGATATTACTGGGGACAGAGAAGAAAGTCAGGTATACTGTCTTAGGGAGACACTCTTTTGTGGACCCTGTACTAGAAGGAACTTGGGGATCATTTTTTTTAAAACATTCTCATTTTTCAAAATCCTGAGTTATTTCAATCATACAGGAAATTAGAGAAACAAATGCCCATGTTTCCAACAACCAACTTCTTAATTCCCTTATATCTTTCCTTATTTCTCTCAGATATTTTAGAGAAAAGCATATAGCAACAGTCATGCAACAGGTCCTTAAATAATGTCATATCCTTCAGTGCTCTTTTGTTACAATTTGGTGGGAAAACCGTCCCTACCCACATTGAACAAGTGATGTTCCGGGTCCTACTTTTGTAATCCAGCATTTCATGTAAAGTCACAGTTTCTGAAAACCTAGAGCCAGTTAGGTGGGGACTGGCTTCCCTGCTCTGTGTGTCCCTCCATCTTCTTCTTCATCCTCAGGCAATGATTATTCTAAATTTTCTGATTCCCTCATTCCACTGACAAGGAAGCCCAGGGAGGTGAAGCGAGTTATTCAAGGGCTTAGTCCATGGTTGTGACATTTGGGACAAAACCAAGGTTGGTCTCCTATCTAGACTGTCTTCATGGACTCAGCTCAGAGCAGGTGTCACACAAGGACACCCACGTGCAGGTGGCCGAGTGAGCAGAGGCCAGCAGGAGAAAAGACAGACGTGATGGTGTCCTGTGCTGTGAATCAGTTTTCTGGGTTGGGTACTTTATTAGGAAAAGCTGCATTAATGGACATGTGGGTTTGCACTAGAATTTACTTTGAAGTCAGCTCCACCAGGAATGGTTTAAAGCTCTTATAGCGATGGGCCTCTCCATGAAGATGAAGTTTATGTTTGCCTATATTTTTAGTTATACTGTTTTTTTTTATAAGCAAATGTAATATTATATTATGTCGAGTTCCTGTAATGTATAATATGTGAGAGTACAAAGCACACGAATGACTTTTCAAAGGCAGGCATGAACGCTTCCCAGGACACTCCCTGATGGTGTGGGTCCAGGACAGTTTGGATCCCGGTGCCGGATCATGGAGCCCTAATAGTCTGAAAGCATGACAAGAGCAGAGTGATGTCCATGCGTAGTGGGCACACACAAGCACATGTGTATACGTGCCCACAAACATATGCGTGCATGGATGTGCTACACGCATGCACATTTGCACACACATGCACACCTGCACATGTACACTTTGCATGTGTATACATGCATAGGCACATGCACACACATATATGTATGTGTGCACACATGCATGTGCATATGTGTGTGTGCACGTATTTTTGTTTGTGTGAGTTAAAAAGCAAGTGAGCCATGATTCTCCATTCACAGACAGACACCAAACCAGTGCAAATGATGAATCTGGAGGCTACGTTCTGTATGGGCCACATCGACGGGATCAACTGCAAGATCATAGAGCTTCCCTTTCAGAATAAACACCTCAGCATGCTCATCCTGCTCCCCAAGGACGTGGAGGATGAGTCCACTGGCTTGGAGCAGGTAAGAGCGCAGGTGGGCGTTGGGGAGGAAGGTGCCACCTGCCACGGCCCTCTGGCCACGGCATCTCCCCAGCGGTCTCCCGGGACCTAGACATCCTTTCTGGGCCTCCCTCCCAATGCTGACGTGGTGCTCACCACAGGCCAGGAGCTGTGCTGTCCGTGCGCCATCTTACTTGCTCCTCACAATCGTCTGTGAGTCAGAAACCTTTCCACACTCTCATTTACCAGCGAGGGCACGAGGCCCGGGAGTAGGTTTCTGCTGCAGGCCCGCCCTTGCTCCTGCCTCCTCCACTGCACCCGGTCAAGGAGACGGGGCCCAGCCACCCCTCCTCCCTCCCTGACCTTCCAGAGGCAGCCTACCCCAGGCTCCATCTTCCCTGTCCACTTAGCAAGCACGCTGCTCTGCCCGCCGCTCCATTAACTGGCCTGCAGCCCTGTCTTCTTTTCTCCACTCTTCTCCCTCTCTGACTCCATGTCTTGCTCTCATTTTCTTTCCAGTCGTTATTCATCTGTTTGCACTTTACTTACATAAAGTACCCGCCCACCAATTTTTTCTTATTAAATTGTAGAATGAAAAAGAAATGGTCTTTTGGGTCTCAGAAAGAAATATTTACAAATGCACATGGCGTTTGCCTGCTGAGATGGCTGTGTCCAGACGCCACACGCTGGTGGCTTCGACAGCAGAAATGGGGTGACTCAGAGCTCTGGGGGCTGGAAGTCCGAGATCAAGATAACTGCCTGCTTGGTCCTTCAGGGGCCTGAGGGGGAATGTGGTCGGTGCTTCTCTCTTACCTTGTGGTGATTTGTTGGCCTCTCATAGACACAGCACTTTAATCTCTGCCTCCTTCTTCTCCCTGGGTGCGTATCTGCACCTGTGCTCAAATTTTCCTGGTCATAAGAACACAGGGCGAGGGCTCACTCTATGACCTCATCTAAATTAGTTATATCTACCAGGATCTAATTTCCAAATAACTTCACATTCTAAGGTACCGTGGGTTAGGATTTCAACGTACGAATTTTGGGGTGGCGGGACATTTTGATCCACAATGCATGTATAATGGAGGAAAAACCTTTTATCTTTCTATATGGTCTTTTCAAGTTATAGATGAATTTTCTACTCTCTCCTCAAGCCCATATACAAAATGGGGAAGATAATATACCGTTTGGTTTAAAAATTCTAGTTATTTTTAAAAAAAATTTATTTTTTTAATTTATGCATACAAGAGCTGGGCTGTAGGTCAGAGGTGGGGGGGAGGGGTGTGTGTGTGTGTGTGTGTGTGTGAGAGGATTCACCAGAGACAGAGTGGGGAGCAGAACAGGCAGATGGACTGAAATACACCGCTGAGGGGAGCAGCGGGTGAGACAGGAGAGGTCTGCTGTGCCATGTGGGTCAGCTCCTGGGCCTGGGATTTAACTCATACTGCAGTGGCTGCGAATAGCTTCATAGTACTGAGACTTAACCCCTTGTGCCACCAGGGAGGCCCCAAATTCTAGTTACTGATAACTATCTTCTGGTCCTAATAATTTGCCCTAATTGAAGCAACGTCCATTAGCAATAATTGTCATAGATTAACAAGAGTCCAATGGTTCTGTTCCTCATTTAAAGAAAACCTTGTGACCAGCTTGAGACCTTGTCATCTCCCTGCCTTCCCTGTGCCACTCACAAGGGCAACTTCGGGGCAGGGCTGGACCAAGACACAGCAGTCCGGGTACTCCTGGTCTTGCTCTACAAGTCTTTCTCCTCTAGCTCATGGGGGGACTGGAAGGGCAAGGAACATTTTAAGACTTGCTTAAGGAAGAATTATATGACTAAACCATTTAACTTTATTTTGTCACATTTCTTTTAAAAATATCCAACAGAAAGGGATGCATTTATCACCCATAATCTTAATGAATGATCACAGACAGTTCAAATCCTCATGTTTAAAAGAGTAACTTTAGCTACCAAATCTGATGCCATGTGACGATTTTGGATTTTTTAGTAGAGAAATGAAAAAGAAGTATCCAAAAAATATTATATATAAAAATCTAGCTTTATATTTATTTCACTATTAATGCCACATCATAATCCATTCATTTGTTTTTATAGAGCTACTCTATAGCTTAAAAGAAATGTCCTCATAAATTTTAGGGCAAGGGGTCCATTGTGTAGGTGGGGCGGGGTTGGAGGATGCTGGGTGGTTGGGATCTTTTACAAGAGAAACTAGTCACACCCCCAAACCACAGGGCTGATTCCATCTTTGATGGTCCATCTGGATGGCTTTGAAACTGGGCTCACGATGACACCATATGGTTTTAATCAAGCAGGATCTTTTACCACTGAAAATTAAAAAAACACTTCTCTTTCTTTCTTGTCCTTCAGGTTGAAAAACAACTCAACTCAGAGACACTGTCGCAGTGGACCAACCCCAGCACCATGGCCAATGCCAAAGTCAAACTCTCCATTCCCAAATTTAAGGTGGAAAAGGCTGTTGACCCCAAAGCTAGTCTGGAAAACCTAGGGCTGAAAACTATCTTTAATGAGAATACATCTGATTTCTCTGGAATGTCAGAGACTAAGGGAGTGGCCCTCTCAAATGTCATCCACAAAGTGTGCTTAGAAATAACTGAAGATGGTGGGGAGTCCATAGAGGTGCCAGGATCACGGATCCTGCAACACAAGGATGAGTTCAATGCCGACCACCCATTCATTTACATCATCAGGCACAACAAAACTCGAAACATCATTTTCCTTGGCAAGTTCTGTTCTCCTTAAGTGGCAGAGCCCAGGTTAAGTCCCACCTGACTTTTCTGGAAACTGCATCTAGAAAATCACTTTCTAATATTGTTAATATTGGTAGATCATTTGTCTTTATATGAGGCCCTCACACTAATAGGCCCTTCTTTTCCAATCCTCTCTTTAGTTTCCCTACTCCCCTGCCCATAAAAGCAGTGGTGTATGCTTTTAATGAAAAGAAATCACCTTCAAGGAGAAGTGTATGTTCATTATTTGTCAAATAATCTAGGATTTTTGGCAAGAATACAGTTTTCAAAAAAAAAAAAGTTCTTATAAGAAGGATTTGGAAGACTTTGTCCCCAGAGTTATGTATTCCTTTACTGAGGTACAAAATGTTCCAGACTTTCTTACTTCCCTGAAAAATTAAAAACAAAACAAAACAAAACTGTGGTACAGGGGCACCATGAAACTTTTCTGGTCCCAATGGAAGCTACTATAGATCCACAGTTTATTATTCTAAGCCCTGTGGGAAAATGCTTTCTCTAAATCCTGACTTTTGAGGATTTCACAAAGATAATATATTTTACCTACTGTGCACCTTGGATTTCATGAATAAGGTCTGGAACAGACTATAAGTCAGTACTATAAGTCAACTCCTTAATCTCTTCTGCCACAAAACGTAGACTATTCACTCTAAGTGGCTGGACGAAGAATCTAAATAGCTTAGGGAGTCAGACTTTACTGTCAAATGAATTTATCACCAGCTTATTATGAAAAAAGCATTGTTTATGGAACTTTTTGAGATTTTGGAATGTTTGATAAGAAACTGTACATCTATAGTAGCTGAAGTGCTTACATATGCTTTATATGCACACATATGTACGCACATGCACATGCATGTCTGTGAGTGTATTTATATCTGTTGGAAGGGTAAGCTCAGAACTTATTAAGATTCACTTTTGGTTGAACACCCACTCGGTCATGTGGTGGGTGATGGCAGGGATTTTGAACTGACTCGGCAAGGTTTTCGGTGTCCGACACCAGGGACTTAAAATACATGGGTGCTTTCACGGTAACCAATAAAAGAATTTTGTAAATGTTGAAGGAAACTGTCTCTTTGTTTGATGTGATACTGGGAAAGGGAAAGAAACTCGAAGACTCTAGAAAAAAAAGGTAACGCTAGTCAAGTATTTATGGAGCTGTGACATGCGAGTCCTCAGTCTATGAGTTTGGTTACTTTTGCTAGCAAGTTGGTGACTTACATTAATAGACATTTTTAAAGTTGGGGTCCTAAGTTATCTATGTCATAAGTTCATGTATTAATTTACTGTTAAAAGAACACACTTGCTAATGGTTTTGTGACCTTCCTTCCCTGCCATTTAGGGAAGGTTCAACTTTCTTTCTGCTCTGAAGGATCAATATTGAATTTCTTTTATGCCATTGCCAATAAAATACAGAAGATCCTCAACTAACGTTTGTTTGATTCTGTTTGGCTATAAAGTTGATGAAGAAAAATAAAAGAGTCAGCTCCTGGGCAAGGCCGTTGTCTCTGTGGGGTTTGCACTCCACCCCCTACCCCTGCCACCCCAGGTCTGTAAGGGTTTTCACTGGGGACTGTGGTTTCCAACTACATCCCAAAGATATGAGTGTGAGTTTCATTGACTTGTGTCGGTTGTCCCAGTTGGAGCGTGTAGGGGTGCATGTGCCCCCTGCAGTAGAAGGGTGTCTTGTCCAGGGTTGAATCTGGCTGTGAGCCCTGAGCTGTCAGGTTAGTCCTGTGTCTATGACCCTGACATGGAATAAGCAGCTTGGAAAATGAATGAAGACAAATGATTGTTTCATATTAGAAGCGATCTGGGTCTGTATTTAGAAGTTTGGTGATGTGCTTGTGACAAGCAATATGCTGTAGAAACCTATCTCTTGTTTCCATCAATTAGCCTATGGTACAGTTGGTTTCATTATATTTTTGAAAATATATTTCAAATTTTCATTTGAAAATCGCAGTCTCTAAGAATCTATATGGAAGATGTTATGTGAGGAAGACATTATGTGAGGACTCATTGTATTGTTGAAATACAGACCCCGCCCCCTGCCCCCCCATTACGTTAGATTTACTCTTTTGAAGTAGAACCCATTTGCCCACTGACAAGAGCATTCCTGTCCGCACATGCACTGGGGGCATTGCGTAGCACAACAAGGAATGAGAATAATTACTATCCCTCGTCTCTTGCTTCCCTTTCTCCCTGCCCATCAGCTCTTGCTTCTTCCTCCCGTTTCCTTTCACCCTAAGGAGGAGAGGACCAGGGAGGTGCCAGAAGCACTTCCCGCTGTGCCAACATGTGAAGTATGTTGTGAAAGAAGAGGTCTTCCCGCTTTTTTCACTTTGGGCCCTGCCTCCAAATATAATCTATTAAGGTGTATGTGCTTATGATATTTTCTATTGAAGTACAATTTTCTCAAAGTGATGTACATTTGTTTTAGATTAATTATGGTCCCTGAGCCTAATATTCAACATAGTTCTTTTTCTGTCCCTACCATGTGCTCAAATACTCTGTCTAGTCTTGTGGGTCTGCTAACCCTAAGCCGACTGTTTGGCCACCATTTTGTTACCTGCAGTTCTGCATTCCTATGCAAGGTCAGAACTGACCGGTCAGTCAGTCATAGGAGCCAAACCTTACAAGGTGCCTTTCAGATCAACCAAGAGCTTAAAGCTTGATCACTCTGGGAAGGGTATGCATCATGAAGTATGACCGGGAACGCCTGGGGGGCTGATGATAAGATTGAAACTAAGGCTGGGGATCTGGGCTTGATCTCAATTACAATACCAAGTCATCAAGCAGATGAGAAGAACCTGGGGGCAGACTTACAACCCCAGATACTATAGATGACAGAGCACATATTCTAGCTTCACCTTTTCTTTTAGTCCTCCTTCCCCTCACAACTGATGCTCTATGATTATTCTATCAATAAAAAGGCAGGATCTTGCTCTTCGGCATCATCCTGCATCCTACAACTTGCTCCACGACTCCCCTGTGTCAGTGTGGTGTTGTCAGCACAACACCGTCTCACAAAAAATGTGGATACAAAAAGTGACACATGCCCCCCACATTCTAAAAAGAGAAGGTCTTTTGTGCAGGAATTCTGGGGTAACAGGGTTGGCTGAAACCAGGTTTCTCAACTCTTCCCACCCCTTTCTCTAGGCTGTGAAGCAGAAGCCACGGATGACAGGGAAGAGGTTTAGTGAGGATTGAGAGGAGGGGCAAGACTCATGCCTCCTTGAGCCAGGTGATCGAAGCTAAGCGAGTCCCCAAAATGAAAACTAATATTTCATGAAAAATTAAGGGCTGAAGTCCCATATTTTCCTGTTGATGCTGAACTTGCAAAGTGTATCACAATCTCCCAGACCCCAGAGGCTGCACTGAAATCACTGATCACAAGAAAACAGGGACTCAACCTATTGAAGAAGAACCGGTGACTCCTTCAACATACAATTTAACATGGCAGCTCCAGGGAAACTTCCCCCAGCTTTATGGAGATGTCGTTGACGTATAATGTATGTGAGTTTAAGGTGCTCTAGTTGATGATCAGATACATGTGTATATTGTAAACTGATCACCACCTTAAGGTTAATTAACAGTTCCACCTCCTCCTATCATTAAGGTTTTTGGAGTGTGTGTGGTGGTAACATGTAAGATCTACTCTCTCAACAGTTTTCAAGTATATAATACGGTATTGTTAATTACAATCATCATCCTATGCGTTCGATCTCCTGATCTTATTTATCTTGTCACTGGGTTTTTGTACCCATTACCAAGTGCTCTGCAACCATCCCATGCTGGGTAGGTTCATTGTCGGTTCAGGGAGCTTAAAACAGAAACCTGGAGCCCTTGGCATTATCCTACAGTGAGGGGAGACAAGCCAGCAGGGGGACAGCAACTTGGGCCTCCCTGTGAACCCCTATACCTCTTTCCTCTTGTAGCTGTTTTCCGCAGCTCTCCAATGCTCTGCACTGCTTGGTTCTCGCCGTACCCTGTCCTCCGTGACACTGCCCTTATAGGCTCAGTCTCTCAGCTCAGGTGTGCCCGCTCACGCAGGCCCACACCTTGCTCTGCCATTAGGCATGCGTGCGCCAAGCCCACGCTCCCAAGCGCCTCCTGCATTTAAGGCCGCAGGTGACAGCCACAGAGGCCGATGGCACAAAAGCCTGAGCATCTTCATTCACCCTACACCAACATCTCCCCACTTCTCCAACCCTCAGTTCCCAGTCACCACCATTCTATCCTCTAGTTCTATGAATTCAGCTTTTAAAGATTTGACATATAAGTGAGACCGCAGAGTATTTGTTTCTCTCTGTCTGATAGCACGACCTCAAGTTTCCCCCATGTTGTTAATGGGTAGGGTTCCTTCTGTTTCATGGCTAAGCAATAATTCATGCTATGTCTAGACCACACTGAGGAGGGACTTTTGACCTGCGCTCAGGGAAGTGTGAGTTTTCATTCTGATCACATGATTATTTTCAAAACCCATTATTAACTCATTTTCATTTCTGTTTTTTTTTTTTTTTTATTCACTGAGGTCACAAAAAGTAGTAGTTGTAGAAGTGTTTGATGCCCCAAATGGTTAAACGTTGTTACTGTGAAATCAGTGTCACCAGAACTTGCAGACAGAAAATGACATATGTTAATTTCAAGAATGTTCCCTTTTTTTAAGGTTTGATTGCTCAAGATTTTGGAATTTCAGTCTATCAGATGAAAACATCTGACATTATTATGAACTCAAGGGTAAATCTAGTTAAAAGGTTTTCAACCTTAGAAATAGCTTTTATTTTTATATATATTTAAATATACAGAGTATCTGCAGAATTTTTGTGAAGCCATCATCAGTTGGATTTTAGAAATGCTTGAATCTTTGAACGATTATGTTGTAAACCAACTCATGTCCTATAATAGTTTCAGTTTTTGTGGCTTTTGGTGAAAAGAATCCTTTATCTGTTGGTTGCATTTTGTTCACTCCTAGCTGGAGGGATCTAACGAAACCTTTTTGAATAAAGCACCTTCAAGCTCAAACTTTGGTGCCTTTAGCTAATTGCAATTATTGAAAACAAAACTCACAGGTGGGAAGACATTTTAATTAATTACTGAAAAAGAAAGGGGGAACTGGACAAATTTAAGAACAAGAGTGGTCCCAATGGGTGTAAGATTTAATTCTGAAATTCTATAACTGTCTTTGATTTTGAAAGGTCATTGAAATATTGAGAACAATTTTTCAACTTGTGGGAAAAATCTTTTGAAAGGATTTGATTTTTTAAATTGGAAACATTTATTTTCCTTACCAGACTAGAATAAAATGGAGG